TCTAGTGATCTACCCCATATCCGGTCTCCCTCGTTGAAGTTTCTAAGAAACTACCAGCAATTAAGCAAAATGACTTCTCACCCACCACATAAATCAATATTTAAAGCTCAAAAAAGGAACAGTAGGGGAGACCTTTCATGGCTGCTGCTTGATGACGAGAGCCCATGGAAATGGTACAGAAAAACTGAGAGTTCGACTGGTTTTATTCAGAACACGACATAAGAAGGAAAAAACAAAATGAGGAAAAAGGAATAATAAGCGAGGGATGCTCCTCTGATTATATGAGACAAAGTTATTATATTATGCAATTCAATCTTTTTAGACAAAAACTTTTAGATGTAGCAGACCGTTTTTAAACCGTACACGTGGTTTCCCATCCATTAATGTGAGGTTCAAGGTTCAAATTGTATTCGGGGTATGACGAATTGATTCTCCATTTTCATCTGCCAAAGTGCAGTAGACAAGAAAAAATGTTTCAGCTTTTGCTAGATGCTGGTCCTTATTGCGTTTGTTTTTACGCAGTCCTGGTTCTTGCTGCCCTGGTATTTCTTGCGAGTCAGTTGTGGAAGATGCTGCAGCAGCTTAATCAGGAATCCAGGGCTGATATTCCTCCGGGTAGTCTAGGATTGCCTTTTATTGGGGAGACCATCCAGTTTATGGCTGCCTCCAACAGTGGCAAAGGCTTCTATGACTTTGTCCGGGTTCGCAGTCTCAGGTGTGTAACTCTCCACTCCCTGAGTCCATGGAAACTCCTGGAGCAGATAAAAGAACTTATTAGTTATTACAGAACATTTAGATTCCTGTACTCTGTTTTCAAAACACATCTTTCATGAAAACGATTTTGAAGGAAAATCAAATGAAACTCACAAGGCACAGATATATGAGTTTTCCAGAGAGCAGAACTAAGAAGCAGATCAAGATAAAATTTTTTTGATCAACAGGCTCCTGTTTTCATATTCATGTTTTGTATATATAGTGACTCTTGCCTAGTGATTACAATTCCTTCCTCAAAGCTCGGATCAATGATGAGCACAAAAAACAAGAGAAAAACAGCTGCGTACGAAAAACAAAAACTTGATTTTAGTGCCATCAACTGTCCTTAACAGCTGGAGAAGAAACAAGAAGAAAAATAAACACATGAAACGCAACTCAGCTAAGTCGAATGACTAAGCTGTTAATAACAAAATTGAAATAAAACGACAATACAGGTAGCGTTTTAACCAACATATAAAACCAAGCTTCAAACGATGTCGTATAGACACCCTTTTACTTTCTTCTTCAGCACTGTTGATTCGCGCCCTTTTGAATCTTTTGCTGCTGGAATCACAAACTTCAACAGTTTTGAGGTCTGGAACTAGAGCAAGTAATATCTTTTAAGCATCCGTCCGAGTTGTTATAAGATATAAATTGTTCAAAGTCTGCGTGATTTGAATTTGGAAATTAATTTGTTGTTTCGATGGGTCGTTGTTCTTTTGACAGATATGGGAACTGCTTCAAAACCAGCATATTCGGAGAGACGCAT